CGTGGCCAAATTGTTAAGTTTGTGCACTCCGCTTCAGTGGCCTAGGGTTTGCCAGTTCAGATCCTGGGCACAGACCTATGCACACTCATCAAGCCATGCTGTGGAGGCATCCGACATAGAAGAACTAGAATGACCTACAACTAGAGTATATCACTAAGTACTGGGGCTTTGGGGAGAAAAAGAGAGGAAGATTAGCAACAGATGTTAGCTCAGGACCAACCTTCCAAAAAAAAAAAAAAAACCACACAGAAAGATAAATTGGATTGCATCAAAATTAAAAGCTTTTGTGCTTCAAAGGACACCATCCAGTGAAAAACCAAACCACAGAACAGGAGAAAGTAATTGCAAATCATGCACCTGATAAGAAGTTTGTATCCAAAATATATAAAGAACACTTACAACACAACAATAAAAAATAACCCCCTCCTTTTTGTTTGGTGAGGAAGATTGGCCCTGAGCTAACATCTGTGCCAATGTTCCTCTATTTTGTATGGGGACACCGCCTCAGCATGGCTTCATGAGCAGTGTGTAGAGCCACAGCCGGGATCCGAACTGGCAAACTCTGGGCTGCCGAAGAAGAGTGCACGAACTTAACCACTACACCACTGGGCCCACTCTCCCAATCTTTTTTTTTTTTTTTAAAGATTTTATTTTTCTTTTTTCTCCCCAAATCCCCTCAGTACATAGTTGTATATATTTTAGTTGTGGGTCCTTCTAGTTGTGGCATGTGTGATGCCACCTCAGCATGGCCTGATGAGCAGTGCCATGTCTGTGCCCAGGATTCGAACCAGTGAAACCCTGGGCCCCTGAAGCAGAGGGCGTGAACTTACACTCGGCCACAGGGCCAGGCCCCCTCCCAATCTTTAAAATGGACAAAGGATCTGAATAGACAGTTCTCCAAACAAAGTATACAAAAGACCAATAACTACATGGAAAAAATGCTCAATAATATTAGCCATTAGGGTAATACAAATCAAAACCACAATGAGATACCACTGCTCATCCACTAGGATGGTTATAATCAAAATGACAGACAACTGTTGGCAAGGATGTGGAGAAACTGCAACCCTCATAGTTGCTGATGAGACTGTAAAAGGGTGCAGATTCTTGGAAAATGGTTCCGCAGTTCCTCAAAATGTTAAACAGGGAGGTATCATCCGACCCAGCAGTTCCACTCCTAGATATGTACCCAAAAAAATATGGAAATACATGTCCACACAAACCCCGTACATGAATGTTCACAGCAGCACTACTTATTACAGCCAAAAAGTGGAACCCAAATGCCTATCAACTGATGAATGGATCAACAAAATGTAGTATATCTGTACAATGAAATATATTTTGGCCATAAAAAAGGAATGAAGTAGTGATAGATGCCACGATACGGATGTACCTTGAAAACATTATGCTACGTGAAAGACGTTAGACACAAAAGGCCACAAATTGTATGAATCCGTTTATATGAAATGTCCAGGATAGGCAAAATATAAACATAGAAAATAGGTTAGTGCTTGCCAGAAGGGGGAGGGAAAAATGGAGAGGGACTGCTAATGGATACAGATTTTCATTTTGGGGTGATGAAAATGTTCTGAAATTAGATAATGGTGATGGTTGCATACTTCTGAATATCCTAAAAATCACTGAATTGTACCTTAAAAGGGTATGTACATGTGAATTATGTACATATAAATATTTGTGCATTATATCTCAATAAAGATATTATTTAAAAAGTGTACAGGGAGCCAGCCCCATGGCCAAGTGGTTAAGTTCTCGCACTCCACTTTGGCGACCCAGAGTTTTGCCAGTTTGGATCCTGGGCGCTGACATGGCACTGCTCATCAAGCCATGTTAAGGTGGCATCCCACATGCCACAACTAGAAGGACCCACAACTAAAAAAATATACATACAACTATGTACCAAGGGGCTTTGGGGAGAAAAAGGAAAAATAAAATCTTTAAAAAAATTAAAAGTTAAAAAAATAATTTAAAAAAGTGTACAGTTAAGATTTGTGCATTTCAATATATTTAAATTTTACTTTAAAAAATAATTAAAACAATGAAATGGACTGGGGAGTGGATAGAGGTACAGATGAAACAAGCATGGACACAAAAAAGTTCATTATAATATTCTGTTCACTTTGTATACGTTCAAAATTTTCCTTAATAAAAAGTTTCTTAACTGATGTGTAAAAATAACAATGTAAATTTCTTTAAAAATAACAAAGTAAACTAACTTTCCTAACATTCATTTTTGTTTTTTGACAAAGGTAACAGAAACTTAAATATTAAAAAGACCAGAGAACTTGCTACCTTCACCATTCTTTTGCAATGTTATATGAAAACAGAGACATGACAGAAAACAGGGTGTGTGGCAAAAATGAAGAATACTTCATCTTAAAAATGTACAAAGAAAATTTCAATCTTCTTAGTTTCAATGTACGAAGAAAATTTCAATCTCCTTAGTCCTAAAATAGATCCTCAGCCTTTGGTTCCTGTGGTTTCCAAGGTTAATGGATGTGACAATTCCTAATAAATAGATGCAATAACCCCTAACACTGTGCTGTCCAATACAGCAGCCACTAGCTATATATGGCCATTTAAATTTTAGTTTTAATGAATTAAATTAAGTTATAAATTCAGTCCTTAGTCTCACAAGTTACATTTCTTGTGTTCAACAGCCACACGTGGCTATTGGCTATCACTGGATAGAGGAGATACAGATCAACATCATCAGTGCAGAAAGTTCTATTAGACAGCACTACCCTAATACATAAAAAGACACCCACAGGAGCCTTTTACGTTCCAATTTAGGGTTGTTACACTGTATTTTACTGCAATAAACAAATCCTGAAGAACAGGGGAAACCAACCATAAAAACACTAACCAAGAAATATCATTTATGGGAGTTTAGACTAACTAAAACAGCAGTTAAACTTAACTTTCAGAATCACCAAGCCACAGATGTCGGTCATGGCAACTTCTCAGAGGCAAATTTCCCCATGTGTTAAAATAGATTACCACTATACTGTCAGTTTCCTAAAGTCAGATGCAAAGTTTATGCTGAAATATAAATAAAGCAAATTATCCTTTCAGTCAAGGATCTAATGAAAAGGTATATTTATAATCCATGATATCAAAGAGTTTATGACCCATAGCAAAATACATAGAATAAAACCCCTTTCCGAACGGAGCTTTGAGGCAACAGGCATAATTAAACGGATTATTAACTATATTCTGTTTCATCTAGGAAAAAAACAGTTTAACCAGATGATTTCTATACTTCTAGCTCTAAAATTGTGTGTGCATTTCATCCTGATAGGCATAGATTTCCGTTAATGCCCTTTAACATGAATATGCAATATCAGGAAACAGGTGCACTCTTAATTCAAATATTTTACAATATTTATAGCACTTTAAAAAAAATTGAAGGTGAGCAAATTTAAAATGTGAATTCAAATACATTTTCACATTTAGAACCTAAAAAAACAAAAACAAAAACTTCACCTGGTACTGTCTCTTAAAACTATCACTGCAAATGCTTGAAGTGTGAATAACATTCCAAAGATCAAGAATAGAATGCTCTGTGTTAAGAAACTTAAAATCAACTCTTCCCTTGCCAAAAGGACTTGGGCACCCAAAGCTGTTAATCAAAACGGTTTCATTTAAAGCATTTTCAAACCTTAGAAAGGTCACTTAAGAATTTAAGTACACCTTACTTTATCCATATTTAATACTTTTAAATTCACTGTCTTTGCAATCCACTGCCAAAAAAAGGAATTCTCAAGAGAATGAAAACATAGAAATTGAAAACAGACTGTAGGCAAGGTATACAGGAGGGTCACATGGAATCAATCTGAAGGAGAAAGTTACTACTACCGGAGCATCTGGAGTCAAATTAAATCAGGCACTATTTACATATTTCTAGTTGCGTACTGACCTCACATGGCGCTTTCTTATGTTATACATAGGCCTACTTAGGTTTTCATATTTGAATTAGTAAACGGGTTCTATCTTTAACCAAAGTTAAATGTTTCAGAGAACAGAATAACATTCCATACCCCCTTTTCCCATTGTTCACTAACCCTTACTGATCGTCAAATCACCCCGATAAATCCATCTCTTCCCTCTAGTTGCTTCCAAAGAAAAATTCTAGCCACCAAGGACACCAGATTGTAAAACAGAGTTAAGAGTTCTACCACTAGAAAATACGTTATATTTTGGCAAATTAGTTAAAATCCCTTAAACCGTAACTACGTGAGTTGTAAAAACGAATACACTAATACAAATCTACATCTGAGAGGGAATATGAGTTACATCAAATGAAACAGAACAATCGCCTCAGATTTGTGGTGCGCTCCAAACATAAGGTACCTCTCCCCCATCTCACACTTGCCCTCTCACTTCTTCCCTTTAAGCTTTTAGGGTTTGCTCCCGGGTCCACTTAGTATTCCCCTTATCCTAGTAGTCCATGCCGCCCTTTTACTCTAATCTACCCCCATACTCCAATTTCATACAATTCCACCACCCTCCGTTCCAAGCTGCTACTTCCCTTTGCGCCCTGTAAGGCCCCAGGCAGCCCCTTCACCCTGCTCCCCACATCTCCATCAGTCCCCATTTCCTAACGGCTCCTCCCCTCGGTTCCCCACCCCCTCATCACCAGGTTCATCCTGCCCCTCCAACCGTCTCCCGCCCCCAGGTTCCTTCCTGCCCCTCCAAACACAGCTTCCCCGTCTCAACGCTTCATTTTGTTCCTCCAAACGACTTCCCCAACGCTCTGCTCGCTCCTTTAGTCCCTATTTTCTCCAACACCCAACTGACTACTGCTTTCCATCCATTCTTTTCAATATATACATAAATGCAAGACACCCACAGACACATACCGGAGCCCCCACCCCCACTTCGATCCTCCATCTTTCCCTTTTATACTTGCTTCCTTTCTTCCTCCCCCGCCCCCCCCACCTCCTCCGGAAGAGCCTGGTTCCCAGGCCAAGGTCTCTCACCTCATTCGGTCACTTCAGTGGTGCCAACCGCTTCATACAGGAAAAAACAACCAATAATGTCCCCGTGGGCGCTTCCCCTGCGAGTCCGAGCACTTACTGGGCACCCGCCCCACCAGGCACCCCACACATACACACGCACAAACCGAGGTCCTGGGGACAAGGGTTGGGGATAGAGTGAGCGTCCTTACACCGGCCTCAAACACAGCTCACTTCGCTACAGCCCTTCGCCATTTTGGTTTCCCGCGGACTGCCGGTGCATTCTGGGAGAGCGGAGCAACTCCGATGCCGAATGGCAGCTCTCCAGACCCGCGAGGGGGCGGGGACTGCGCGGCGAGCGCGGAAGGACACCGCGCTCTGCGGCCCCGGCCGAAGCTGAACAAAGAAGGACTCTTTAACTGTGCGGTGAGGCTCAGTTCTTCCGCCGCCGGCGCTAACACAATGGTGAGCGCTGCGGCGCGGCTCGCCGGTGTCCGGCTGCAGACCCTCTCCTGACGGGAAGGGTCGTGTCCAGCCTTCCCTGTGCGTATTCTTTTCCTGAGAAGTGGGACAGTGCTGTCTACATCTTGCCGCGCCGGTTTCCTTTCCGGGGAGAAAACCTTAGATGAAGCACGTTTCTTCTGTCTTCACCCTGAGGCCTGCTCTTCGAATTTCCTTCAGCGAGGAGGAGACCCTGAATGTCAGAATTAACTTGTGTTCGGCGGTTACTGTCCAGCCCCAAATTCCTTCTTATCAGGAACTGCGTATATAGAAGACTTTCGGGCTTTTTTCCCCTGACGATGAAAGGTTTTTCTGTTTCTCTTCTTTGCACATCCTTCCTAATTGTGATGAAACCTGAGAATAATCCCGTGGAAAGTGGTTGATTTTCGGAATACAGAACTTTTTCATCCTGGGGCAGACCCTTAGCCTGCCAGTATCCTGCGCCGACAGGGGTCCCAGGTGACAGACGGAGAGTGCATGCTTGTCGTTTGACTTGTACTTCGAGGCAACCCAGCTCCTCTTAGTAGCCACGTGTGGTCCCTTTGTTTGTAACTTTGTCAAAATATTTTAAAAATCATTTTATATTTTTGTCTCGTATTACATCACAGGGATAGTTAATACCATGTTTCTCTCTCTGAAAAATTACCTCTTGTGGACTAAACTCACTTTGCTCATATTTCCAAAGAGGTTTCCTCAGCCTGTGATCTCAGGATTTGGTAAATAAACGTGTTTTATCCACACCATTCAGTATTTTAAATATTTAAGTCATCGCCCTCCACTGCTTTGCTCCTCCTGGCTCATCGTGCTAATCTCGTTTTGAGTCTGCCTTCTTAACGACAGCCTCACTCTGTCTGCTACTTCTCAAGTTTCACTTTCTCTGAATTCTCTTAGACCATAGTTTCTCATAAATTCGTCCTCAGTGCCCTTCACGCTTTTGGTTGAGGAGAGTTTTGACTTAAAAAAACAGATACAGGCCAGAAATGGATAAAGATATGACACGAACAGGTGTGTTCGCTGTGCAGCCCAGCCTAATCATAGAAGCGCAGTTTGGGAGGATGTTTGGTGTAAGTTCTCGTTGTTTCAAGTGGTCCTCAAGCCTCAACTTCAACATCTTCAGTGGTTCCGTCCCTCGGAAGCAGTCATTTCAATTTCAGAAACGCTAATAATTAGAAAATTCTTCCTTGTATAGATGTATAATCTGCCTTCCTATAATTTCCACTTGCTGGTCTTTTTGGCCTCTTTAGCCGCAAGAAAGTGTTCTAATCCCTTATGCCTTAGAGAAGTCAGTGATGCCTGTCTCTTAAAAAAAAAAAAAGAAGCAGCAGCAGCAGCTTGTTTTTCTGTGTGAACATACAAGTGTAAAAGTGCAATCATTTAATTTAAGGAAACCAGATGCTCCGAGAATCAAGGGCCCTGAGGGAGTCACAGTAAAATACAAAGAATACCTGTAGCTGTGGTCTTAGAAATTTCTGTTAACTAAGCAACATGCAACGGATTAGGACTTTAAGAAGAGGCGAATGTCAGCAATTCCCTCAGGAGTACAAAGTAAAGTAACTCTAGTCAGAGTAAACTGTAGCCTTTATTGTTGTTATTTATTTCCGTGACAGTCACTGGGGTTGTTCACAAAAATGCTGCTTCTCCTCTCTTCCAGACATAGTGAAATTGCACTCTCTTGCACCCTTGACGTTAGGCATCGCCATGTAACTTGCTTTTACTAATAAAATAAGAGGGGAAACGATAAGTATCGCTTCCTAGGAAAATCTTTAAGAGGCAGATGCTCATCCCCTCCTCTCTGCTGTGGCGATCATGGAAGCATGTGTGAGAGAGAACATCTGTCATTTTGGGTCCCTAAATGACAATAAGCAGAGACGAGAGTTGTGGAACCACCACCACAATCCAGTTTTAGAGCATTTCTACCACCCCAAAAATATTCATTATGCCCATTTGCAATCAGTCCCTGTTCCCACTCCCAGGCCCAGGCAATAAGCTATCGATCTCTATAGATTTGCCTTTTGTGGCCCTTTCATATAAATAGACTCAGGCAATATGTGGACTTTCGGTCTAGCTTCTTTCACACAGCACAGTATTTTGGGGTTCATACATGTTGTACGATGTATCAGTAGTTCTTTCCTTTATATTGCTGAATAGTACTCCATTGTATCAATGTACCATATTTTGTTTCCATTCACCAGTTGATGCACATTTGGATTACTTCCAATTTTTGGCTATTAGGAATAATGCTGCTGTGAACATTTGTGTACAAGTCTTTGTGTAGATATTTTTATTTTTCTTGGGTAGATTCCTAAAATTGGAACTACTGTGTTGTATGATAAATTTATGTTTAACTTTATAAGATACTGCAAAACTGTTTTCCAAGGTACAAGCAATGTGGGAGGGTTCCAGTTTCTCCATATCCACACCAACACTTGTTATTGTCTATGTTTTGATTTTACTCATTCCAGTGGGAGTGAAGTGGTTTCTCACTGTGGTTTCAATTTGTATTTCCCTAATGGCAAATGATGTTGAGCATCTTTTCATGTGCTTATTAGCCATTCTTATATCTTCTTTGGTGAAGTGTATATTCAAAAATTTTACCCATTTTTTAACTGGGCTGTTTGTCTTCTTATTATCAAGTTATAAGAGGTCTTTATATATCTTGGGTACAAGGCTTTTTTTTTTTTTTTTTTGAGGAAAATTAGTCCTGAGCTAACATCTGCCGCCAATCCTCCTCTTTTTGCTGAGGAAGACTGGCCCCGAGCTAACATCCATGCCCATCTTCCTCTACTTTATATGTGGGATGCCTACCACAGCATGGCTTGCCTAGTGGTGCCATGTCCGCACACGGGATCTGAACCAGTGGACCCCGGGCCACCGAAGTGGAACATGCGCACTTAACTGCTGTGCCACTGGGCTGCCCCCTGGTACAAGTCTTTATCAGATACATAATTTGCAAATATTTTCTCCCAGTCTATGGCTCATCTTTTCATTCTTTAGTGGAGTCTTTTGAAGCACAAAAAGTTTTTTAATTTTTATGAAATCCAATTTATCATTTTTATAATGCCATATGCTTTAAAAAAAAAAAAAAAGATTGCCACCTGAGCTAACATCTGTTACCAATCTTCTTTTTTGTTTTTTCCTTCTTCTCCCCAAAGCCCCCCAGTACATAGTTGTATATTCTAGTTGTGAGTGCCTCTGGTTGTGCTGTGTGGGACACTGCCTCAACATGGCCTAACGAGCGGTGCCATGTCCACACCCAGGATCCTAACCACTGAAACCCCGGGCCACTGAAGCGGAGCATGCAAACTTAATGACTCAATGGGGCCATGGGGCTGACCGCTAATGCCATATGCTTTTGATGTTATATCTAAGAACTCTGCCTGACCCAAGAGCACCAAGATTTCCTATTATGTTTTCTTCTAAAGTTCTATAGGTTTAGCTCTTCCATTTAAGTCTATGATCCATTTTGAGTTCATTTTTTGTGTACACTGTAAGGTATGGGTCTATATTCATCTTTTTGCATATGGATATTCAATTGGAGAAATAAACTTATGTTGCGTTTTAAGCCACTGCAATTTGGAGTTGTCTGCCACCCAGCATATTTTAGTCTCCTCTGACTGATACAATCTAGATATCTGCATATATAAGAACTCAGTAATACCATTGAACTGCCTACCATAATCAGAACCAAAAATGAAAAATATGAAAATTTGAGCAGAATATTCAAAACATTAGGTAATTCTCAAAATTTATCAATGAAAAGTCACAGAGTATGTGATAAAATACTATATTTATAAACCTACAAGCTCCCACTTACTGGCTGTTACTCTCTTGTGGAAAAGGGCTACAAGGCCTTTAGCATTGTTCATTGTGCAGAGAAATGCAAGGGGCTGGCCCCATGGCCAAGTGATTAAGTTCATGCACTCCCCTTCGGTGGCCCAGGGTTTTGCTGGTTTGGACCCTGGGCGAGGACATGGCACTGCTTGTCAGGCCATGCTGAGGTGGCATCCCACATGCCACAACTAGAAGGACCCACAACTAAGGTATACAACTATTTACTGGGGGGATTTAGGGAGAAAAAGCAGGAAAAAAAAAATTGGCGACAGTTGTTAGCTCAGGTGCCAATCTTAAAGAAAAAAAGAAGAAATGCAAATAATCAGACAAGTCGGAGAGGTTAAAGAAAAACATTCTGTGTTCTCATAGAGTTTGCTTTTATTAGTCTGAAAAGGGAAATAAATCTGAAACATCAAAAGAAAAATGAATGTTTCCACAATAATCAAAAGGATTTGTTAAAATTCCTTTCCTTTTTATCCAAAGCTTAAGTGGCCATATATAACATGAACACTGCTTTTAAACCCAGTAATTTGTTGTAAAAGTATATATAGCAAATTTAAACCTCTTGTATAATACATCTTAAAATATAATGTGCCCATTATCAGTTTATTGCTGATCATTTCCAAATTCACCCTTCATTACTTACTTTGTGACAATGGATATGAGCCTTTTAAATACTTTTTCTTCACCAGGTGGCAGAATGTTAAGTTTTGTCAGAGGAGGGTGCTGGAGAGACCATGCTTTATAAAGTGGTTTTCCTTCCTGATTCCAAAGTGCACTGTCAGCAGCCTCCTGCAGTGTGCACGGCTTCTCCAGAGCTTGGATCCTGTAGCACATGCACCTTCCTCAGTCTTTTCAAATCATCTCCTTACACCAACCCCAGAAGACAGCATGTGCTGTCATCAAGTGACATTAGTGCCATCTTGGCAGTCAAAAATTTAAAGTGAGTGATTGAGAAGTGTGTATGCAGTCAAAACAAATCACTCAAGAGTCACAAGAGGTAGGTTCCAATTCCCATCTCTGCATACCCTGCTTATGACACAAGCTTTTGAAGATTAAGTCACCAAAATTTAATTTTGGGGAGAAGGAAATGAGAGAGAGAGAGAGAATTATCCAGTAGAAAGAAAGATAAACGTTCTTATCTGTTTCACACTGCTAGTTTGTCGAGTGAGCATTTAAAGATGTGGACAAGGTAAGACAGACAGCATGAAGTGAGAAGCAGAGTAGCAGAAGCAGGAACTCTGAAGGACAGATTACCTCAGTTGCTGGCCAGCCTCTGTCACTTCATTAACTGAATGATCTTGGGCAAGTTTCCTAAACTCTCACAGCCTGAGCTACTTTGTGGGCTCAATGGGGAGGATAAGAATATCAACATTAAAGCTTTATCATATGGACTAAATGAAATAATATGTGTAAGAGTACTTTATTTTTTCTCTTACAGCAGTTATTGCATGTCTGACTTCCCTGATTCAACTGCAAGCTCCTTGAGGGTAGGAGTTCTTCTTTATATCCTTGTTCCTGGAAACACATCTGGACCACAGAGCAGCCCTTATATAAGTAAATTTTAAAATGGATATTCATTTATTTAACAATATTAAATATGTTCTGTACATGAAGAACTGTGCTGTATACTGTTCAGGACAGGATATGAGCATTAATAATACATATCCACAAAGTAGAGTCTGGAGACAATGATATTAATAAGTAATTAAGATACAATACAAATATATAGAGGTGTGAAAGGGTGTAATGTATCCCAGGAATGAGAATAAATTTAGTGTAACCTAGTGTGAAGGATAGAAACAAGGACAGAAAGGTGATTGGGTCTTGTTATGAAAGATTTCATATGACAAGTGGTATCAGTCAACACGTTTTTTGATTGCAAGGGTCATGACTGCAACCTGAACAAACCTTGGAAGGGCAGAAACCCTTCTGAAAAAAGAAATAGAGACTAGAAAGATATAAGGATTCTCCATATCTCTCTCCTTCCCCTGCCCTCTTGTTTCTGCTCCTCTCTGAACGGCATTTTCTTTCCCTCCTTTTGCAGATGGCCTTCTCTATTTATCGGGAAACCTTTCAGCAAGGTTACCTTTTACTATAGGAACCAGTTAAGAAAGGGGAATTTTTCCCCTCTACCTCCTTCTCCCATCCCCACTCACCACCCTTAGAGTTCTAGTGAAAAAAAAAAAAGAATCCAAGGGAAGTATTCTGATGGGCTAGGCTTGGGTCATATGCCCAACCTGGATCAAATCTTATAGCCAAGAGGATGAGCTACTTTGTTCAACAAAAATTGGATCAATGCCCATCACTGTAGCCGAAGAAGTGGAGTCTTTTATTAGCTGCCACCACAAGAAGCACATAATTGGAGTTGGAGAGAAGGTGTTTCCCCAAACAACGAGGTGCTATTCTGGGCCGCCAAAATACTTTGAGTCTACTAACATGCAATGAAATTTGAACTTCTCTAATAATAATAATAATAACAATAATGTTTATTGAATGTTTACCCTCTGCCAAGTTGTGTGAAAAGTGCTTTATGTTATTTCGTCTTTCCAACAACCCTATGAAGAAGATATTATTAATTCCTCTTTTACGGATGAAGCAACTGAGACACAGAGGAGATAAGCAAATTGTCCAGGGTTACACAACAGTAAGCGCAGATTTTAATCTAGTTTTATTTGACTCTGGAGACCACTCTTTAACCACTATCCTACATAGAAGTAGGGTAACTATCAGAGGCTTTAAAATAAATCCATCCTTTAAAAATATCTCTCGGGTAGTGATGTGGAAATTAGATTGAAGAGGAGAAATACTGCAAATAAAGAGGCCACTGCAACTGTCCAGGTGAGTAATGGGTGAAAGCTTGAACAGAGAGTAAAGAAGAGACTTCAAAGATAGTTAGAAGGAGATATCAACAAAACTTGGTAGTCACTGGAAGAGATAGGTGAAAGAGTGAATTGATTTAAGGATAATAGTTAAGGTTCCTGTCTTGAGTAAGATGAGAGGTGATGACTGTGTTTCTTTGTTCCTTCTTCCCTCTTTCCTTTCTTTCATCCCTGCTTCATTTTAACAAAGACTAGAAGTGACTGGTATTGAAATTAACCAAGACAGCAAATAAAAGATGTGGAACAATTTGAAGGGAAAAACTAATAAAATAAGTTCTGAGCAAGTTGAGTCTAAAGTGCCCATGGAATATTAAAATGAGTATGTCCACTAGGCAGCTGGAAATGCATCTGGAGGTCAAGAAAGGAGAGGGCTGGTATTAGATGGAAAACTACACACCTAATCAAGCCTTGGGACTCAATCCAGTTTGCTTCACTCGTGTTCTTCCTTGTCTTTCCTATGCCAGAGACAAAGGCTTGGCACAAATAGTAATTATAACTGAAGCAGAATATATTTAAATACATAATTTTAGGTATCAAATTTAATTTCACAAAATTTACACATCAAACTGGAGTATTTGAAAGATTGCTGACAAAGGAAGACAGAAGTGAATAAATAGGATCCATTTATAGATATCATTTTGCCATTATTACCAGTTAAGAATGAATGTAGTTATTGGTTGTCTCTATGAGGTAAGATTTTTTTTGTTCTTCACGTTTCCATTTCCTAATTTTTCTCTCTTTCTTGTAATATTTAGAAGGTTATTTAAAACTCATACTGGGGTTGGCCCAGTGACACAATGGTTGAGTTTGCATGCTCTGCTTCGGTGCCCCAGGGTTCACAGGTTCGGATCCTGGGCGCAGACATCCAGACCGCTTATCAAGCCATGCTGTGGCAGACGTCCCACATAAAAAGTAGAGGAAGATGGGCACAGATGTTAGCTCAGGGCCAATCTTCCTCAGCAAAAAGAGGAGGATTGGTGGCGGATGTTAGCTCAGAACTAATCTTCCGTTAAAAAAAAATATACAGTGCAGTGATATAGGTTTCTGGTCATGTGACCCATGAGAATATTTAGAAGCTGTCAGCTAGGAGCAATCGAAAACTCCCAGGCTGTCAAAACATGGGCTCTTTGGGGAGCTCTCCAGGGTACTGGACAGCCTCGCCTGAAATTCTGATCGGTGAATCAGATCCTTGTGTCTCTCTTCTAACCTATTTGCCCTTGATCTACCTGAATCCTGCCCTTCTGACAAGCTAACTGTTTCAACTATCTCTTAACTGGCAACTTAGTTCTCTGGATGAGTTCCCAACGGGTTTTAACTGTTAATTTTATACTGATGCCTTCAAAATCTATAAAGCCAGTAATTTTCTTCCCACCTAAACTTGTCTGTTCCACTTCTACTACCATTAGACTTCATTAATTTATTTAATAAATACTATTCATGTAAACAGAAATGTACAATGCAAAACTATAAAACTTCCAGAAGATAACAGGAGAAAAATTTGTGACTTGGGTTTGGCAATTCGTTTTTAGATGCAACACCAAAATCATGCTCCATGAATTAAAAAATTGACAAGCTGAGCTTTATGAGAATTAATTTTGCTCTGCAAAGGACACCATTAAGAGAATGAAAAGAAAGCCAAGGACTTGGAGAAAATATTTGCAAAACAACTATCTGGACTTATATCCAAAATATACAAAGAACTCTTAAAGCTCAACAATAAAAAAACAAACAACCTGATTAAAAATGGACAAAAGACCTAAACAGACACCTCACCAAAGAACATATACAGATGGCAAATAAAACATATGAAAAGATGCTCAAATCATACATCTTTAGGGAACTGCTTATTAATACAATGAGATACTACTACACACCTATTAGAATGGCTAAAATCCAAAATACTGACAACACCAAATGCTGAGGAAGATGTAGAGAAACACGAACTCTCATCATTGCTGGAGAATGGTACAGATACTTTGGAAGACGGTTTGGCAGTTTCTTGCTAGATATAGTCTTACCATATGATTCAGCAATCATACTCTTAGGTATTTACCCAAATAAATATGTCCCCACAAAAACTTGCACATGGACGTTTATATAAGTTGTACATATTTGTAGCTGAACTAGAAACAACCAACACGTCCTTCAATAGGTGAATGGACAAACTGTGGTACATCAAAACAGTGGAGTATTATTCAATGACAAAAAGAAATGAGCTATGAAGCCATGAAAAAACATGCAGGAAACTTAAATGCATATTGCTAAGTGAAAGAAACCAGTCTGAAAAGGCTACATACCGTATGAGTTCAACAATATGACATTCTGGAAAAGACAACATTATCAAGACAGTAAAAAGATCAGTAGTTGCCAGGGGTTAGGGAGGAGAGAGAGAGATGAATGAAACAGGAGGAGCACAGGGGATTTTTAGGGTGGTGAAATTGTACTATATGATACTATAATGGTGGATCATGACATTTTGCATCTTTCGAAACTCATAGAACTGTACAGCACAAGGAATGAAACAATGTAATCTATGGAATACAGTTAATAATAACATTTCAATATTGGTTCATTAATTGTAACAAATGTACCACACTAACAAATGTGCCACACTAAAGCAACATAGTAGGGGATACTGGGGGGAGGAAGAGGAGAATTAAATGATAACCCTCTGTACTATCTGTTCAATTTTTCTGCAAACCTAAAACTGTTCTAAAAATTAAAATCTATTAATAAAAGTATTATTGAGTGTCTATTATATGTCAGCCATTGTACTAGGAACTGGGATTACTGGCCCTCCTGGTGTTCACAATGGGTGCGTGGAGGTAGGGGGGGCCAGGCACTAATGAAATAGTGACACAGATGAGTGCGTAATTACACACTGCTGTGAATGAAAGCTTCATACAGTTATGAGAGCTTATACCTAGTCTGGAGGGTTAGAGAAGTCTTCCCTAAGGAAAAGATATTAGAACTGTGATGGCAAAGACAAATAGGAGTTAACTAGGTGTGTGTGTCAGAGTTGGGGGGGCAGTGTTAGGAGGGAGAGCATTAATGACAAAGGATAAGTAAGGCCCTGTAGTGAGATGCAATGTGTACGCTGAAGGAAGGCACATGTGTCTGGAGCACAGAAAGCAAAGAAAGGAGTGCACAAACTGAGGCTAAAGAAGCTTATGGGGCTACGCTACAGAGGACCCTGTGGGCCATAAAAAAAAGGTTCACATTCTTAATCTAAAATCAGTGGGAATACCTTGAAGGATTTTTAGCACAGTGTTGACATGATTACACTTGAAAAGGATCTCTCTGGCTAACTTGGAGAAAAGACTGCAGGATTTCTAAATCTCAGCACTATTGACATTTTGAAATGAATACTTCTTTATTGTAGGAGGCTGTCCTGTGCATTATAGGATGTTTAGCAGCATCCCTGGCATTTCCACAGTGGATCAGTAGTACCCACCCCTCAAGTTGAGACAACCAGTCTCCAGACATTGCCAAATGTCCCCAAGGGTGAAAATCATCCTTAGTTGAGAATCACTGAATTAAAAGAAGAGCAAGAGAGGATAATGGGGATCATTTGGTGGTTTTTACAGTAGCCCAGGTAGAGATTATGGTAGCTTAGATTTCAGGAGGCAGAAAAAGAAGGAAGTAGACTGATTAGGGAGATGTTTAGGAAGTGAAGTCAACAATTTAAGGTGCTAGATTGAAATGGGAAGAGGAAGTGGGAGGAATTCTAGAAATAAATGCTTCTGGCCTAAGCATCTATGTGAGTGGTAGTACCATGAGGTAGGAATGCCAGGTAGATCTTAGATTTTGAGCCAGTGTAAAAATTGATTAAGACTTTTGGAGATGTTGGGAGATGTGAGTATAATTTTGCATGTAGGAGGAAATCATTAGTAATTGTAAACTCATAAGTAAATCATTAGAGACCAAAGGGCAGACTGTGGTGGTCAGTTATATTGGAGGCCCCCAATGAACCACGCCCCTGTGTAGTTCCTCTGCTCAAACCTGGGCTAGCTTTGTGACTGTTAACTAATACAATGTGGCAGAAGTGACATTCTGGGACTTCTGACCACAAGTATTCCTGGCAGCTCCCACATTTGTGCTATAAGGGAAACCAGTGGCCACTTAAGAAGTCTAGGTACCCTGAGACTATCAGGTTGTGAGAAGCCCAACCTTGTTACTTAAGAGAGGCCACATGGAAGATAAGTGAGGCCCCTTGCCAACAGTCAGCTGAGCTTCCAGTTGACAGTGCCAACTTGCCAAGCATATTAGTGAGGCCATCTTGGAACTGCATCCTCTGGCTCCAGTAAAGCCACCCTAGCCAATGAGCTGTCCCCATCAAGCCCTGACCAAATGGGAGAATTATGGGTGATTTTTGTTGTTTAAACGGGTAAGTTTTGAGATGTTTTATTAAACAGCAATAGATAACTGAAACATTTAGCCTCTCTAAGGCTGCGTCATCTACTGTACATTAGGAATAATAATAATAGCTACCTCATTTTGTTGTAAGGATAAGTTAAATAACGCCTGGCACTAGAAGTACTCAAATATTGCTATTATTGTTCTGATAAGTGCCAAAGAAGTGCTTGATGGTTGATAATTTTATGGAAGAGCATTGATTAATATTGTTAATATTAACAGAGCAATTGTCACCTTCTCTGACCCTCCTATATTGAACAGAGCCTCTCAGTCACTCTGCTCCTTTTTTTGCTTTGTAGCGCTAATCATCCCTTGAAAATATATTTTTTATCTTCCTCCCTCACTAGAATATAAACTCCATGAAAGTCAAGACTTTCTTTGTTTTATTCATTATGCCTTGTCACATAAATAATCAATATTTGTTGAATGAGTAAATGAATGAATGTTGTTACTCATAAATGTTCATTTTTCACTAAGGAAACAATGGAAAAATTTCTGTGTTTTACCTAGGGCTTAAACCTTTTCAGTTATCAGTTCTCAGCACAGCATGTTTGATTGTTTGGTTAGACAGTAAAACTACTTTGCTCTCTTATAAGGAAATCTTAGAGTACAAACAATATAAAAAGTAGGCAGACTATAGTTACAGAGCAACTGAAATTCCACCAGGTTAAACTGATTTAATTCATTAAGCTTTATAAGCTAATTCTTTAGCTTTTATTCCCTTGGCTAGTTCATACTATGTCCCAGATCTTTAAGATATTCAGTTGGCTTTAAACTACCCTTTATTTCAGCCTAAAGCTCTCTTAGGCACAACCACCCTATCATGGAATCAGTATTTTCTTCAGCTGAATTTTAGCCAAGATACTTTATTAAGAACACTTCTTCCTGAGCACACATAAATTTAGATCTTAAAATGCTTCTCTTCCACTCTTCTGCTTTCAAAACTTTCTAAAGTTTACCTCTTGTAGATTTGATCAGCATAATCTGAAATCTGATCTAATCTCTTTAAAAGTTTCTCCGTTTCTTTTCCTCATTTTACCTGTGGTGGTTTACATGTCTAGAATTCTAGGGATGGGCTTGTCAGTCACCTGCCTATGCAAACGTTGGGGAAGAGGTACTGTCATCCCGTGAGCCTACAAGACCTGTCTTTGACCTAGGCAGGTGGTGTAGGTCCTCATGTACTTACTGGAGGGTATTATGATGCATACAGGACCACCACAGATCTCTGCAGACTGTATTCAGGA